CCCAGCTCCTGCTCCACTCAGCCCAGTAGCACCAAGGGCATTCCCTAACTCCTCCACCAGCATCGTCTCTTCTGGTGCTCCCAGGTGGATGCTGGGAGGGGAAGAGCTGAAAGCACAACACTCCTACAAGGCGGTAGGACTCCCACCCCAAAGAAAAGTCCTTTTGGATAGCCCTGCAAACATTTTGTTTCACACCACACGGAAGTTGGAAGGGTCAGAAGAATTGCCAGCGAAAGCCCATCACCATGGGAGGGTCAAATTAACTATATCTTCTTTCACTCCTTGAAGGAGAAATTTGGAAAAAGAATGAAGGCTCCTCAACACCTTTATAAGCGAGGACACAGAGCATGTTAGATGTACTACGCAGAACACATGCGAAGTTGTTGGTGCCAGGGCCATTGCCCCTGCACAGGTAAGGGCACAAACCCCACTAGCTGTCAGTCTGACATAGGCCAACATTAAAAAGGGAGAGAAGTAGAGGATGTGGGATGGGGAAAAAAAGGGTGAGGGTGAAGACAGATGCCAACACCTCCTCCCATCCACATCTCAAAAAAGAAGCCATACTCATTGCACTCTGGGGAGGAATCTAAAAAAATAAGTCACTTCTTTGCGCAAACCCAAGCGACAATGAAATAAACTTGCTAGAGTTATCTACGGAAGGAACCATAGATGGCGGGGGGGGGGACTTCTGAAGCAATGCTCGGCACTCCTCTAGCTCTGTGCAAACATCATCGGAGTCAACTTCCCAGCACCCGAGGCATAGGGCAGTGAAACAGCTGGCAAAAAGGCCACAGCAAACCAAGAAGGAACAGAACCCAGGAGGCACCTAATCCCCAGCCCCAAATCAACCCTCTACAACACATCGCCTTCAGGACAGAGATCAGAACAGGCTACATATGGGGTGGTGGGTAAGTGGGGGAGAGGGAGAGGAGAGGTGGGATTTCTTTTATATTTATATATTTATATAAAAAAGTAAATAAGATCCCAGCTCTTGCACGATTATTGGGCGATTGAAAAATGCAGCAAAAGCAAGCAACATTGGAGTAAAAGGATGCGCCAGGCAAGGAGGAAAATGTCTTGTCAGAAGGTGGGGCAGGAGGCGAGGGGCAAATAAGCACTTAGACACATACTCCAGGTTTGTTGCACCTCCTCTGGGAAGAAGGATCTGCCCCCAAGCAGCCTCACTAACATTACAGCCACTGAAGTGGATAGAAGTATGGGGGACTTGGGACACTATCCTTCAGCATGGCAACCCAGAGAAAGCTTTTCCTCTCTGCTGGGAGGTCCCCAAGAGGGTGATCATCTCCAAACACTGTGAGCTGCTGACACCTCCTCTACAAAGAGGGGCTGGGAAAGGGAGTGAAATCCCTAGGAAGACTCAGCTCAGAGACAGCTCCTACGTGGTAAGGGGCTGGATTGGGTTTTTTGTTTATTTCATAAATCTCCCTGGGAACTCCAGTAAGGGGAGACAGAGAAATGCTCCCTTTCCCTTCTGAAAACAGAAATTAAGCTAATGGCTCACCACAGCTAGGCCTGCTCACCACAGTCTATTTCTATGTTTTCCCATCCCAAGAGGAGCTTGCATCTCATTAGCTTCACACATCCCTAGTCCTGCTCTGCTCAGCAAGGAGAAAAGACAGCACAAGACAGGAGGCTGCTGTTCCAAGCTGAAGACTGAGGGAAGCACTGACAGAGCTCAATGGGTAGAGAGAAGAAAAAGGTCCCGGGAAGAGCCCAGGCTATGGGAGGCAAGGATATATCCATTACCTGCCATTTCAAACCTAAGGGCACAAGAGAAGTCCAGACAAGTAAAACTGTCCTAGTGTTCCCTGCCTGCCACCTTCTGTTCCGTTCAGACACCAACGTCTAGCTGCTTCCCTCTTCTTTGCAGTTACTCCTATGCACCAGATGAGCACACAGCAGAGGTAACTTGGATGGGGAAGTCAGCACACAAAAGCTGCCTCCTCACTTTGAGGAATTGCTAGAACCACCCTTCTCCCCACCCCCAAAAAGCTGGGGCAGAAGAATGTAATCCTTACTCAAGTGAAATCCCATCATGGCCCTCTCCACTCCAAATCCTCAGTGTTTGCTCGTCTCTGGCAGTCTCAAGGAGAGGGTATGCCTCACTTGGCAGAAACTTCTCAGCACACAAGGCAGCTCTCACCTTCCTCTGAAGATCTGGCTACTGTCAGAGGGGGAACACTGGATTCCATACAGATGGGACTCAGTCCTTTTCCTGATATGGCAAATCCTATATGAAAAATGCCATTCCCTGCCCAGAACTGACATTGGGAGAAGCTAAGAGACCCTAAGGAGGGGAGGCAGATCTGTTTCTGAGGACATAAACCCACCATGTTTAATCCTGCTTGGACATGGGGAAAGGAAAATAGAAAAGACAGCAATTTGGCCAGAAAAGATGCATGCCAACCCCAAATCTTAGCAGCTTGCTGTGCATGCAGAGTCAACTGTTTCCATGTTGTTGGCCTAATCCACATTCTGGCAGAACAAGATCAACCATTTCTGAGGGCCACTTGGCCGGAAAACGATTTGAAGACTCCACCTTAGCTCACAGGAGAGGTATGGGAGGGAAGGAAACTCACTGCAACACATGGGAGACAAGGACGGGAAGGGTTTGTAGATAGGGTTCCTCCAACATGCAACTTGCCTTTTCAGCTCAGAGATCGCTGCTTAGTCCCAGAATGCCTTTCTCTCCAGTTCAAGCAAGCCAAACACCATCCCAGACATACATGCTTCAATACTACAAAATACTCTTTTCTCTAAGGACCACCTAATACCACTACAGTTTGTGCAATCACTGCATTTATTATTCATTTTTAAACTCTCTCTCTCTCGCTCTCTCCCTGTAGAAATTTTTTTTAAACTTTTCTTTTTTATGCAAAACTAATCATTTCACTTTTTCCACTCCATCATAAAATCTCCTCTAAAAACACAACAACAAGAGAACAAACATGGCACAGACACAGAGAATATTTCCCTGTTTTTGTTTTTCTAGGGGTTACGGGGAAAGGAAGGGGATACTTTCAAATAAACTCCTCCACCAACCTCATGCCTTTTTTAAAGGGCATGGAGAGATCTTCTTTCCCATCTCCATTAGAGAGCAGGGATAGAAATTTAGGGGGAGGAGTGTAACCCACGTGAATACGAAGGTAGGTTAGCCCCAAGCGGCTTGTCCGCTTGAGACTGTTGCTGCATTCAAGTTAACAGACCTCTAACTCAAAACAGCACAGGATCTTGATTTCAGATCCAGAGGTTCAGGGTAGATTCCCACCTGGTGACCCATCCGAGAAGAGATTTGTCACGCAAGTGGCTGAGTGTGTCTGTAATCCGGATCATACTCCTTTCTTCCTCCACAAAGAGGATCTGCTGCACAAGTTCCTTTGCCACAACAAATACCCTTATCTCCTCACCTCAGGAAGAAGGTCCTCACGGAGTATCCCTACAACGACCCGACCCATCGTTTTGCTCTTCACAGACAATCCCCTTACTTGTCACTCTGGAGAAAGGCAAAAACCCTTCATTAAACAATTCCCGCCCCCCGCCCCCAAAGAACACCATACAAGAGACACTGGGGAAAAAAATTCTGCCAAGTGAACATATCTTGGCCAAAATACATCAAGAGTTTCCTATTAAAGTTCCCTTTTATCTCCCACTTAAACTCTTCAATTATTTTTCAGAATCTCATTACCACAAAACAAAACACATCACCACATACACACCAAACAATAACATAACAACCAAAAAAAGTGACTGGCCAGAATGCATCCACCCCATAAAGAAGTTCCTCTTATCTTGCAGCCTCAGAATACAGTTACTTGTTTAGAAGATTAAGAAAAACAGGAAGAATCTTCTATTTCCCTAAGAGAAAGCTTTTCCCTATATCTACAACCCACTCATCTCTGAAGCTGTGGTCATAAGGATAAGCTATGTTAAAATAAAGGATCCCTGGGTGGGCCAGGCACAGGAAAGATGAAAAAATAATGACACAGAAAATACAGGCAGGTATTTATACAGACACACACACAAGTCCAACAAGTTATAGGAAGCCTTAGCTTGGTGAATGAAGTGAGGAAGTCTTTCTCCCCACCCCCAGCTTCAGTTATAAATGCAACTGCTTCCCCATAGAGTTCACTAAGGTTTTTGAAGAAGGCCGGGGCGGGAGGGAGAAGGTATGCAAAGGGTGGGACTAACAGCACCTGGAACCCCCCCTCAGACTGTCTACACAAACACCGAACCACAGCTAGTTTGAATTCACGACGCTTTGCAGTTTTGAACTCTACCCTCCGTGAGGTAACGTTTGTGGGGAGAGCAGCAAAGATTTTTATTACACCAGCCGATGTGTTGGAGGAGGGGAAGAGACGAGCTCTGGGCACAGAAGCCCTAATTAAGGTCAGAAGATGGTCTTTCCCTCTGCCACACCAACTATGCCACTTGCACAAATAAATATTACCTCTCTCCCACAAACTGCCTCACTTCTACCCTCAGACCATCACAACCACAAAATCACTACTTCACATGAGAACACTCCTCACAGCCAACAGCTTCCAGCTGCTGAGCGTCCTCATGCACAAGCACCAAAGGGGTGAATTCCACTTGTGTTTGCCTGTCCAGGGCAAATTTGTAGGTAGATAAGCCCTGATGCAGGGAATCTTTTCCACCCTTTTCACCTCTGCAGCATGTATGTGGAAGTAACACCCCTCTGACCCATCCCAGGGTAACGGGGACAGGGCTGAGAGGGTAAGGCTCTCCCACAGACAGATACTTCAGCACCTCTTTTCCTTGCACCTACAGGCTCAGCCACAGGCAAGTAGGGCAAGAGGGGAGAGCAAAGGAATGGCATTACACCATGAAGCTTAGGACTGAGAGAAATCAAGCAAGCCACAAAGGGCAGGAGAAGGAGAGAGCTTATTTCGGACGTGAACCACATGTCCGAGCGAGGGTGGGCAGGGA